GTCATTTTCAAAGACCTCCCTACAGGTCCATAGGGGATCTAGGGTGTCGAGGGGGGGTTTATTAAAAAGTTCGATCCTTCCTCTTTCCAATAAGCGGTCGGGAGGGGGGATAGCCCGACCCTGTTTTTCTCCATAAACGATACTTAACCGGCGCGATACTAAACATTCCCCCACTTTTTTTTACTAAAAATTGGAAATAATTATTGACTATTTGATTCCATATTGTTATTGCCCAGGGTTTATGTTAAAATATTTATTTTTTTTTTGTTTTCAGAACTGCATCTTCCGGCTTTTGTTATGCTTTAAATACTTATAACAATGCATAAAATTGTATCCTTATGAAATGTTGCACCATGGAAGTCAGCTTTAATTTGGGAACTGTAATGAGTATAATCGTATGCAAGTTGAAATAGAAGTATGTCTATGTTGAAAATATGTGATGGAATGAGAAACTATATTTAAATACTTAGATTATTACGCAATGCACGTATCGAAATAAATTTATTTCTTCAATTTAATTGCACATTTCAATAAAACCATATAAGAAGGCTTGTGTTAGGAGAGGCGCACGCTAACATTGCCGGCACATTCCCCTACGCTATCTATGTTATATTCTGCAAATAAAAAAAATATATGCGTAAGTAATTTCTTAGTAAGTTTTATATATTGTCACTTACGTCCATCGGGATGTTCGCAATTGAAACGCAACAATACACATTCATTTCCAAATGTAAGCAACTTGCTGCCATTTTTCTCTTTGCCGCATAGTGGTGAATATTTTTCGCCGCAATCACGTGCACATGTTGGGGCCTGCTTTTTGCCGGCTGGAGATGCAAAAGTAAGAGCCACAAGGCAGAGTGCTGAAAGGCAAAAAATAATAAAGAAATATTTAAGTTTTTCATTTAACTTTGCTTTCAATAGAAATACCTACATATGTACAGTAGCGGACAAAGAAATCCGGACAACCGGAGAGCTTGTATTTAAAACACAATTGTAACCTACAAATATAATTTTCTGCGGAAAGGTTTATTCTTTCGCATAAATTAGTGCTCTGTACACGTTTTATGACTTTTAGTTTTTTCAATAGCTTCAAAGATTGTTTTGTGCTCGTGCTTAGTTAAAGCTTAAATATGCCAAATTAATGTTTTGCTTTTGCGAAAAGAAAATCTGACCATTCGGGTAATTAGTGATAGAGTTGGCTTCAGCAAGTCTTCCATTGGAGAATTTCTAAAAAATTTCGATAAAACCAGGTCTCTTAAGAGAAAAACTGGCTCTGGAGCAAAGAAGAAGTCAATAGAACGTATTAGCTTGAGGGATCGCTTCAAAACTGCTGAGGACATTAAAGTGGAGTTATTTGAAGTTGTCGGTTCGGAAGTTAGTGCAAGAACTGTTCTTYGAAGGCTTCGAGATGTTGGTTTGAATGCTCGTCGAGCCGCTAAAAAACCACTCTTAACCCCAGAAATGCGTCAAAACCGTTTACGATGGGCAAGAGAACATCAAAATTGGACTCAACTTGATTGACGAAATGTAGTCTTCTCAGACGAGTCTAAATTTAACCTTTTTTCCGCGACGGTATGTCCTACGTGAGAAGGAGAACTAGTGAGCGGTTCAAGGACGAATGTGTTCAAAAGCAGGGAAGCAGCCGAGTGGTCGGGTTTCTTTTTCTACTATGACCTTGGACAACTACCCCTAATAGAAGGAACAATCAATGGGAATAAGTATCAGGAGATACTTCAAACAAATTTAATACTCTCAATGGAAAACCAGGATGACTGCGACCTGCCACCGTGCCAAAATAGTAAGTATCCATTTTTTGTACAACTAGAATTTATTGCCATTATTTTAATTATTAATTATAAATTTTATACTTATCCTTTTTTCTTTCTTGAAGGTTTTTTATAATTTATTTATAAAAAATTGCGGTCTCGACTTTGGAGTGGCCAGGAAATAATCCGGAACTCAATCCCATTGAAAACCTTTGGTTTAGAATGAAGGCTTAGGTAGCACAGAAGAGGCCAAAGAATTTAACAGACTTAGAAGGAATTGGGGCAGTAACAATAAAAATSTTCATAAATTCAATGCCGGAGTGTATAAAAGACATTATAATTAGCAAAGGAGGTTTGACAAAATACTAAAACGAGTGTATTTGTATAGATGAATATTTCCTTTAAGTAAAACTATAAAAGCATTTCTCTAATGTAAACAAAAAAAAAAAAAAGAGATCGCTGTTTACATTACTAGTTACCAAAATGATACAATATCTAAAATGAATTAAAACAAAATGTTATAAGTGCAATTTTATTGTTGTTGTAATGGGTATTTAATCCTCGTAAGGATGGTAAGGATAGCTAAGTTGTCGCCTGCGTCATCCAATGGTAGATCCAAGCAACGTACTGTTTCGAAGGGGTCGAACCAATGGGAGAGAGGTGACAGATGTTGGGGTTAGTGTGGCATGCAAAGAGATAGCCAGTGTCTTGCGGAGACTCTTTACAAGAAGGACATACAGAATAGGTCTCTTATACACATCTAGATGTGTATAAGAGACAGGTTGGGGTTAGTGTGGCATGCAAAGAGATAGCCAGTGTCTTGCGGAGACTCTTTACAAGAAGGACATACAGAATAGAATAGAATAGAATATTTGAGGTAATGCACCGTTCGAAGTCTGGTCGACGTATTGTTTGATGCCGTTGACGTAGTTTAGGAATGACCTCTTGATCTGCTTGTAGAGGAGTTTATTATGCTCCTTAACTGGGAGCATAAGCGTTTCACTATGTAGGTGTTCGCTGGGAGATATCAAGAAGCATTCTGTCGTGGTCTGGAGTGCATTCCATTGCCCAACGTCAATATCGTGCAATCATCAGCGTACGAGGTTATGGGGACTCGCTCTGTTGTCTGTGGGAGTTTCGAGATGTAGAACGTAAACATTAGCGGGGAGAGTACAAAAATCGAAATAGTACGGATGATTGTTCAGCTCTGAGGTAGTTCATGATCTACCTTTTCAGTCCTTGAAGAAGTGGAGTCCTGCAGTAGAGTTGTGTGGTTGACAGTGTCAAAAGCTTATGGCAAGTCCAACACTATGAGCATCGCTCTCTCACAGGGTGGTTTCTGGTTGAGGCCACGAACTATCTGAGCGTTTATGACGCTAAGAGCTGTGGTGGTGCTGTGCACTTTTTAGAATCGGGAGTAGCAAGGCCTCAAGTGTCTTCTCAACAGAGGATAGGAGAGTTATCGGACGATAATATTCCCCTTTGTTGGCGCGTTTCCCATGTTTCAGTAGTGGGACCACTCTTCCGACTTTCCACACATCGGGTATTTGAAGAATGGTCAGGGATAGGTTGAGGACCTTGGTAAAATAGCTTACTCTCATCGAGCCTAGATCCTTTAGCATAAGCATGTTGATTCCATCAGGGCCAATGGATTTAGAAGATTTCGATTTGTTGATGGTATTCTGAAACTCCTTATCGGCGAAWGTAAGTGATAGATAGATAGATAGATAGATGGATAGATAGATAGATAGATAGATAGATAGATAGCTCGCTCCGAAGAGGATTGACCATTGAATTAAACTACAACTCGGTCGTCATGTCTCTTCGGGTTAGACAAAGCCTTGACAGTAGCCCAAAGCTTACATCGGTGGAGAAGTTGCAGGACTTCAGGTGCTCTAAACAATTCGTGGGGAAAGAGCAGAGATTTTAAGGTGCTCTTGGTAAATTATGTGAAGCCAACSCAGTTAGCTTTGTTAAAGTTAACGAAGGTGCGGTTCTCCACAGAAACAAAATCTGGATCGAGATAATTATGGTCAGATGGTCTGATCGTCAATCTGTTYCACCAGCTCCATCCCCCTACGACCGTTGGGCAGACAGGAATACCAAAGATCGCGAGGCGCGTTAAAGTCGCCTAGTACTAAACTGTTTTCCCCATGAAATATCGCACGTATATTCGGCTGGTATACTGTATGGCAACATGTAACTTAAGGATGTATATGTATATTGAAATCTCGAGCTCGACAACGCCTGGCCAGATAGCTATACCCTGACATTCTATCTTTACCGATCTTTACGTACAACGTTAAAACCTTCAGACCTCAGATGATCTGAGAAGCTGTTTAGTTTGCTTGTTTGGAACGCAGCTATCGATATGCGTTCCCGGATCATAACTATATCTTCGATCTTGCTATGGAACTCGTTGCAATTAAATTGTAAGATCCGAGTTTGAAGCGGGTGTCTGTAGGTGATCCTGGAAGTAAGGGAGTGGCTTGTAGGTTGTGGATGTTCAGCTGCAAAAACGCAGGACGGTTCCCGCGTTGTTATGTTAGTGGGCGATGCACTCTTGGGTTTTGTTGGGCAGACCCTTGCAGCATGGGGCAACATGCGACATCGCACTCAGGCCGGAACTTGTCGGGAAGTGACACCAGCCGGTGCAAGAATTGCACTTGAAAGACGTAACATGCCGACGTTAAAAACAAGGAGATGCAAAGTGGATCWCGCACGAGGATTGGAGGGGGATGAAGCTTAGAGATAGGGGACAGAATGGGAGTTATGTTGCCTATCTAAGCTCCTATAAATCGTGGAGGTCCTTTGTTAGCCACTCGCTGCAAGGCATTGCTCCAGTGACGATACGATCTAAACGGGCTTAGATTTACGGAGCAATCCATCTCAGATAGAGTTATATACATATATATAAATAATCAGGATGACAAGACGATTTCCGAGTGACTGTCTGTCTGTGGCTTGATTAAAAATTAAAATATCGTAATGAAACTTAGTACACGTGTATCTARAAAACCATTCAATTTACATCAGACAAATTTCCAAAAGACTAGTGCTTCCGACACTTACCAGTTTGAAAATAGGTGAAATCGAATGATAACCCCGCTCACTCTCTATATAACGGTTTAGTTAAAAACTATTAGAAGTGCAAGAAATCAATAACTAAAACGTTCTCCTTTTCCTTTACTGSCGTAGACACCGCTTACGCGATTATAGCCGAGTTAACAACAGCCCGCGACTGTGTCAATGTCTTTGTATATCGAATACGATATTCGCCGTGGCCAACGCGCAAAAGGACACAAATCTTTCGTAGAACCTTTCTCTCTGTTGTCATCGTCCACGCCTCTGCACCATATAGCAGGATGGGAATAATGAGCGACTTGCTGACGTACGTAGATGATATCGATATCATTAGCCTCAACAAGCGCGCCGTTAGTTCTGTTGTCCCCAGAATGGATGAGGAATCGAGGCAAATAGGTCTGGTAGTGAACGAGGGCAAGACGAAATAACTCCTGTCAACGAACAAAGAGTCGTCGCATTCGCGACTAGGTTGCCACGTCACTGTTGACAGTCACAACTCCGAAGTAGTAGATAATTTCGTGTATCTTGGAACCAGAATCAACAACAATAATAATGTCAGCTTCGAAAAACCGAACTCTATAAGTCACTCATTATTCCCGTCATGCTATATGGTGCAGAGGCAGGAACGATGACAACATCTGATGAGTCAACGTTACGAGTTTTCGAGAGAAAGKTCCTGCGGCAGATTTATGGTGCATTGGTTAACAGTTTTGTCAAATAATTAATGTTGAAAATGGTCCTAAAATTTGTATATTCATTCAAAATGTTGCTACGTGGTATAATAGTGTGTGCACCTAACGACTGTTTGCATCAACTAGAACTAATAGACATAGATATACATAGTATACTATATATCTAAATAATCAGGATGAATCGATTGGAATTCCGACTGACTGTCTGTCCGTCGAATTGTCTATCTGTGCACCCACGTGGACCTTTCCAAAAAAATGAGAACAAGTTCGTAGATGGGTGTAATTGGTCCACTGCCTCGCCCACAAAACGCCATTAAACAAAAGTCTATAATGTACCATAACTGAACTCCAAAATAAGATATACAACTATAATTTGGCGCAGGGGAATATAGTAGCAAAGCTTTGAAAAAATGGGTCTGACCACACACCCAGAGGATTAATGTACATACACTGCCGCTCAACTGAATAGGTTCATTATCTCAGAGGTAGGAATTTATCTATAATTTCTAAACCAGTTTTCCGAWTTACATAATTTTTTTTCTTTATTTCTTAAATCATATTAAACTAATATGGTGAAGAGGGTTTTTCAAAAACATATTATTTATTCCTTATAGCTATACAAATTTTGCAGTAATTGCAGCGAAATTGTTGTCCAAGCCATTTTAATTGCCGCAACAAGAGTTGTTTTGCAATCAAATTGCCTGCCTTCTTCATATACCTTGCGCGATAGCAACCCTCATACGTTTTCCATTATATTAAGGTCAGATGAATATGGGGGCCATTCGAGCAARTCCACGTTTTGAGCCTTAATTCACTCTTTGACCACCCTAGCTGTATGAATAGGRGCATTATTGTGCTGGTAAATCCATTTGATAATGTGAAAAATATTGTAATAATGAGGAAACGCAGATCTGTATGATAGATTTTGGAAGTAACAACTTGAAGGTCGCAAGTGCCGAAGACTGATACTGACCCCCACACYATTACGCCTCCCTCACTGCTATGGCGACGGCTCATGAAATGAAAAAAACACCTTCTACCATTCGCTCGTCCAGCTCATGGTCTAGTCATTTAAGCTTAAATTAGGTAAAAATCTCGGAATTCGAGGCGAACTTACTATAATGACTGGACTATCATGTGCTTGCGTGCAAAGAGCAGTCGTAAAGCTTTACGTGCATCATTTAACGGTGTTTTTTTTTAAGTTTCATTCGTTTTAGATGATCAGCCGACGAAATCACACGTTTAACTGTAGACGCACACTGGCTGTAGCACCGCAAATTTCTTTAATTTTGGTTGCTGAGAGATGCGATTTGGACGCACCCCCACAATATGCCTCCTGACTGCCGCAGAGGTGACGTTTTTGACTCCGCCTTTCATATTTTTACCATATTCTGCTTTGTTTTGYAAAAAGTTACTCACAACATTTTGACTTCGACCAATTTCTTACGCGATTTTGCGATGGTTAAGACCACTTTCACGATAGGCTTTGATGTGGCCCCTTTCATACTCGGATAATTGTTCTCCGCGTCCCATTTTTCATTTAATTTAAAGAAAATATATGTAATAAAAAGTTTGTATCAAAAATGTGTCGTCACGCCGCCAAGTTTAATCGCAAATTAAAAATCTTTCAGCTGAACGTGTTCAGTTGAACCAAAAATTGCACAGAAATTAGCGAAATAAATAGCAAACGGTTCTTTACTAGCGCACACTGATTGACACATATATAAAGTTAAAACGTTTTTAAAAAAACTTGC